ATAGATAGATAGATAGATAGATAGATAGATAGATAGATAGATAGATAGATCTTATAAATTGTCATATAGGAGCTTATCAAGTTTTTTCAATGCATGGTACCAATGTCATTCTTTCTTGTTTCTGTGTTTTTGTCTCTTGTGTGTCTTTAGTCTTCGCCATGCATGGTCAGAAAACAAGACAAACCGCTGCCAGCACCTCCTCCTCCCCTCAGAGATCCACCACCTCCGCCAGAGAGGCCTCCCCCAATCCCACCAGAGAACAGACAGAGCAGACATTTCCACCATGGTGAAAGTGTGCCTTCCAGGGACCAGCCAATGCCTCTTGAAGCCTGGTGCCCTCGGGAAGCCTTTGGAACCAATCAGGTGATGGGATGTCGCATCCTAGGGGATGGCTCTCCAAAGCCTGGAGTCACAGCAAACTCCAATTTAAACGGAAGGCACAGTAGAATGGCTTCAGACCAGGTCCTTATGCGGAAGCACAGACGTCATGATTTGCCTTCAGAAGGAGCCAAGGTAAAAACGTATTCAATGTAGAAGCTGGAGAAACAGCTTGGGGAACTTTCCAGTGGGAGACTTTGTTCCTGGAGTGAAACGCGGGACTGTGTTTAGTTTTTTGTTTGTTTGTTTTTACCTGCCTAACACAGTGCTTCCTCACTGCTCTTTAATTATCTACAGATTCTGAGCAGTGTGAAGCTTAGTCAAAGTGAACACGAAAGAAGTGAGGAAAAGACTATCCTTACATAGTAACTTAAGATGCAGATGTAAGACAGCTGGACAGAGGTTGACCCTCTTCCTCACTCTCCTGCTGAGAGCTTCTCCTACTAATAGCTCAGCGTTGTTAAAATCAGACCAATGCTAAGTGTTTGTGTTCACTCAAAAGTGGAAATGCGATGTAACTGCATGTATCATAAATCAATCTTATAGTAGGATGTTATTTAGGATTTATATATTTGATCCAACTCAGAGAACCAAACATCTCACCTACTGATAAAACATGACCCACTTCATGCTTGCTCACCAAGAAAGCTGTTCCTTTTAAAGCAAAGATATTCCCACACTCCTACGTCCTCATTTAAGCATGAACCATTTGTCACCTGCATTCAGGAAAGAATCTAAGTGTGCAGGCAACTGAAGGGGCAGCAGCAGCCATTGAGCTTAGAAGACTGGGTGGTCTCCCAGGAAACCATTCTGGTGCAATATTCCGTGGTGTTTTAGCTGTGATATTAGATATGTGTCATCTCCCTCTGTACGGAAAATTATTTTGCCTTTTTAACTAATATTCATTTGGACCTAGCTTTGTGATGTTTTTAAAGGGTATTATCTGTTCCTTCAAAATTATGGATTGAATTTAATGTGTTCATCTGACATTCAGGAAACAGGAAGAAACAACATATTGACACACAGGTGTAATACCAACCAGAAAATGCGAAGTTTAAGGTTATCGGCAATCACATAGGGAACTCAAGACCAGCAGCACTGTATGAGACCCTGTCTCATGGCAGGGGAAAAAGAAAACATGCAGTGCCATGTACTCCCGTCTGGTGTTTATGTGTGTGTGTAAGCAGAGTGATGATGAAAACTTTGTGTAATGACATTAACACAGTGGTCTATTGGAAATATTCTGTGTTAAGAAGAGCCATCTCTCAGGAACAGCATTTTACAAATGGGGAGCATAGGTTGCAAACCATGATTGCCTTGAAGGTGACCTGCCATAGCACTGTTCTCAACTCCTATAATTATGTAGATTCCTACAGATTACTTTAAGGTTAAATAAATAAATTTCTTTAAAGTTAAATAAATAAATGTCTTTAAGGTTAAATAAATAAATGTAGTGTAAAAAAGAAAACAAAAAAGCCCGTAGAAAAAGCAGTTTGATAATGTCCTCTAGAAGTAGAGAGCCTGCCCTCGAGGAATTTTCCACAGCCTATAGTCCTGGCTGGGGAGAATTTGGGGGATTTGGTTTTGTTTGTGTTTGTTTGTTAGCCTGTGTTCACCCATGCATGATGACAGTTGTCTTGATAAGAGCCTTGGAACAATGTCTCACGTGAGCAGACTGTGCTGAGGGGGCAGGTCACCCGAGGTGAATGACTTCAGAAATACTTAGTATAATTAACAGCAGAGCCAGTTCTTTGAAGACCCCTTATTTCAGGATCCTTTCAGCTATGACCCTACAGTACATTAGTATAAATATAAAACTGGCCTTCTAGAACACAGCTGTTAACTCTTTAAGATAGTAAAGTTTAAAAAATGGAGTGAGGATTTCTAGGTGTGGACTTAAAGATTTTGTGATGTTAGCACTAGTTCTGAAATATTAATGGAGGATTCAGTTTTGGTTAGTGAAAGTCACCTCTCGCTGAGAGCTGGATTTTCATCCTATTTCTAGTTAACCTCTTTGAGATTCCCCGGGCTTGTGCTCACATGCTCACTCATATCACATGTCCATTCATATTCTTCCTCTCTCTCTTTCTCTGTCTATATGTTTTTCTCACTCTCTCATTTTCTCTTTCTCTCTCTGTCTCCCTCCCTCCATCTCTCCCTCCCTCCACTTATTCCTTGAGAATTTCACTGTGAAATAAAAGAATAAAAGTTTCTCTTCTGAGGGGGAAGAAAAGATTCTTTAAGCTCTAAACTACATTGTGTGTATTAGCATTGCCATCTTTATGTTCTCAAAGATCATTTCACGTTGCAGCAGAACTGCTGTTTGAACCAACTCTTTGCATAAAATATTTTAAAATAGGATACAAACTTGAAGCCGTTAGTTCTTGGCAGTAACGCTGGACCCATCACGAGCTACTGGTTCCTTTTGAGAGTCTGAGGACCCAGCTGGTTCTTACCGATAAACATTGTCTTTAACTTGTCATGTGCCTTGCAGTGACATTGTCCTATAGATGATCTTACGTATAATAATCTTCTGAAGGTATCACTAGATAAGTGTGTCATGTGATTCCCTTCTTGTGATTATCACTTTCTCACTTGGGGTGAGGAAGCCTCTCTTCATACATGTGATCTTAAACTTATCTGTCAGTTCCAAGAGCTGGCTTTCAAGAGGGAAGCCTTTGGGTCCACAGGTCTCATTTGCAGTGTGATGCTGGAGAACTCACGAAGAAGAAACGTTCTTAAATTGTAAAGGAGTTATATTCATAAGATAAAGAATACATTTGCATTTGTAGTTTGATAAAAGTTAAATTTCTCAACATCTGCATGGTCCATAAATATACATTCAGGGGGGCCCTTACACACATCAGATAACAGCAAACAGAGAAATACATTTTTAAATAAAAATTCTTTTCTTCATTTTACAGAAGTTTTCATAATATATTTTCTGTAATTTCAAGGGAATCAAATGTTTATCCATCTGATCTTAGACAGTATATGAGTCACAGGAAAATATCCCAAAGAAACAGGTTAAGAGTTTATGATTCCTAGAGGCACACAGAAAAAAAAATACAATCCAGGATAGCCTAGTTTAAGATAAATGACACAGCCCAGAATGGGCAACTTCCCCAAGGCTGAACCCTCCACAATGTGCTTATTTCGTCATCTTCACTCAGCTGTGCAGGTAGTGGGCTGTCTGTACACTGTGGGATGTAGAGAATTGTGAATGAAAGACAGTCTAAAAGCAGCACAGACTAGGGTAGACAAGACAGGTCTGTGAGGAACTTAATAAGAAAGGAGCATAGGAAGCACCCAGAAAATGTACAGTTTCCTGAGAAAGAAAATGAAATCCTGAAAGTGGAGGCAGAAAAGGAATAAAGTTTTCTGCAAGAGGGTCTCTGGCTGGAGGCTGACAGAGATGACAGACAAGGGTAGCTTCACCCCTTCCCCCATGGGAATAACAGGAACAATACCATGGAGATGGGAAAAACAAACAATGATATTAACTTAATTTGGAATGGTGTGTGGTGCACATAAAGAGTCAAGGTGTGTGCAGCAAAATTGGGTACTACAGTTTGAAACCAGTTTTGGCGTGAAGTTCTTTCAGTGCTTTATGCAGGAAAGAGCTTTCAAAGTGATGATAGCTCCAGACAAACATGATCAGTGTAAATCCTTAACGCTTCTGGTGGAATTGTGGTGGATGGGTGACAGTCGTGGTGGAGGAGGCTGACCCCAATGACCAGGCAGACCCATGCGTGAGTGAGTAGGGTTTCACTGTGGACTTCTTCAGTGGTGCAGCCTGTCTAGATGTCTGGCAGCCTGTTGTTGCCACCATGCGCAAACAGACTCTTCAGGTTTCTAAGGAGCACATAGTTATTTCCAGCTAGATGATTGTGGTTTACAGCACTTCCTCAGGTGGTGCCGCCACCTTCTGCTCTGATGAAATAGGTAAGGTTGAACACGCAATTCGCAACCATCTTTTGGAAGTAGTCACATTCGTTTCGCAGGAATGAGTCTCAGCACATGTAAGCCCTTGGCTGTTCGCATGCTTGCGTAATTCCAGTCTCCTAATTAGGAAGAGCTATGGAGAATTTTTTGTGTAGTATTAAGACTATGCTTAACTCTCAGGACATTGTTTAGAAGTGATTAAAGGAAGACCAGCTACTAAGAAAATGATGTGTATTTGCTAAGAGTATTTTAAGAAAGTATGGTGTTTCTTCCAGTGATAGCAAAGAAATTTCCCTTGTCAGTGCTGCCTCTATTGAGGTCACCTGCACTGTTGTCACTCAACACTGATGGAAGCCCTACTGCACATGAAGTATGTAAGGGAGTTTGCCATAAAATAAGTGAGAAATAAGAGACTGTATTCTGAAACAAACAGGTACAATGTAGGATTGATTCTCTACAAAATAATACTAGATTACAGATATCAAATAAATTGTTCATAGAAAAACTTTAATTTTTCAGAGACAGGAGAAACCTTTAAGCTGCTGTCTATCAAATAACAATTTATGAAGCCATTAGATAAAATGCTATTTCACAATTTGAAACATATTAATTTGCTTTATGAAATTGAAAGAAGTTACTTAATCCCTATAAGTTATTGCCTTACCAGAGAATGAGTGACCTTCCTAATAGGTTGTGTGTTTTCCCAATGTTAACTCTGTTGTCTGTATGGTCTTTTTATTACTTTAATTTAGTTTGTATGTTTGTGTGTGTTGTATACGTATTTAAATATTCTTTTGTGTATTCATATGTAAGAGTGTACAAATGTATGTGGAGGCTCGAAGCTTCCTCCATCTTCCTCTAACATTCTCTCACTTTAAATGTTTATTCCTTTGTTTGCTTGTTTAAATGTTATGTTCATGGCTGTTTTGCCTGCATGCATGTCTGTGTCCCATACACTTGCCTGTTGCCTGCAAAGGCCAGAAGAGAGCCTCAGATCACCTGGAACTGCAGTTACAGACAATTGCAAGCCATCATGTGGGTGCTGGGTATTGAGTCTGTCTTCTCTAGAAGAGCACGAAGTACTTGTAATCACTGAGCCACCTCTCTAGCACTTCTATCACCTGTTTTACAGTGCCTTTCCCTGACCCCAGAGACCACTGATTCACTAGACTAGGCCTGTCCAGTGAGCACTTGTGGTCTCTCAGCACAGTGCTGGGATTGCAGAGGCACACAGCTATGCCCAGCTATAATGTGGAGCTGAAAATAGGAACTCAGGTCTTCTTCCTTGTGTTGCAAGCTCTTTAGCAGCTGAGCTCTCTTCTGTGTCAGGGGACTTGCCTTTGTGAAGCTGAGTATCAGGCAGAAATGTGTGAATTGTCTTATCAGTGTATAGTTCTTCTTTACCAAATTTGAAGCATGCTTTTATTTCCATATGAGTAGATGTTTGGGTATATTGGCATTACTGTTCAAGTGTGTTCATAATGTTTTGATTATAAAATTATAGTTTACTTATTTATTGTCAAACTAATTCAATACCACAACTATTATTTCCAGATCTCCCTTTTGTTACCAAACTTTTATCAAGTAGTAACATGATAGATATTTTTACCCCAAAGTACAGCTTAGTCAACACACACACACACACACCAAAAAAAAAACAAAAAAAAACAAAAAAAACTTTCATTTTACACAGGTTTGAAATGTAATTTTGACAAAATCATTTGATTTTATTACAAAAAAAATCTTAGCAGCATGTCTGCTCAAGTAATGTAAAGTTTTTGGTGAAGAATACTTTCAAATGTTCAACATTATAATTGACATTTGTAGTTGGATGTATGTATTCATCAGATAAAAGACATTTTCATGTTAAAGGATTTTATTGAATTTTGTAATGATTCACATCACTTGGGAAAATTCTCTCTAGCAAAGTTCAAAAATTTTTGTCATGTTCCGTAACATGGTCCTCAGTCAAAAGCCCACGATAAAATCATTTCATTTAAAGATATGTTTTATCAGGATGTAACGGCAGTGTGTTGAATCTAATGAGGGGAAACTGGGGAAAGAAAATTTGAACTAACATAGGCTCTGGTTTTTAGAGTGGAACTTTAATTCTATAAAATTGGATTTTTTTTACAATAGACAAGAGCATCCCTATATCTCAGAGGTGATCTTTCAATCTGGTGATAGGTAAGGATACCCACGGCCTCTGCAGGTTTGCGTTTTAAATCCTCATTGCTGTTTAATATATAAGACACAGAGAAAAATTAAATAGCCGAGACAACTGAAGCTGCCTCTCATCCATCTTGCCCCACTATCAGTCTCATTTTTAAAGATGAATGAATAAGAGTTTATGAAAGAAGCTTATGATACAAATATCTAATGATTACTTCCAAACCTTAAAAGGTCTGTAGTCTTGTGAGAATGCTTTTGCAAAGTTATCCTTTCATTTTACCATCAGTAAGTTGCTCCAGGTCCAGATGACAAGAAAGGCAAAGACCAGTTGCCTTTTTCCAGCATTCCTGCTGTACCTGTAAACCGGAAGCTCCTAATCCCCAGGGATGAGACCTTGGCTCTGCATAGCAAATTATAAACATGGGGACAGTTGCGTGTGGATTTTACAAACCAAACGTGTATATAAAATTTCCACACACGTGGAAAGCCAGAACAATCGTGTCCTTATTGAAAATGGCTCAGAACCTTGGCCTGGACATAACACAGCCCTGCCGGAGTCTACCCACACACTGTGGTATCAGGAAACTGAAAGTGGTACTGGTAGCCCTAAGGGATGTCTGTTTGAAGGGATGCTTCTCTCTCTGGCCAACCCCATTGTGATAAAATCTGATCATTCTTCAGAAGTAGTGCTACCTGCTTATGTATTTATCTGTCTCAATCTCATGTATGAAAATCATAGCATTGCCTCTTTTATGTTTAAAAATCATATTGTAACATATTTCCATATAATCTGTGAGTTATGGTAAGTCGTCACTGATCCTGCTGATTCCTGGATAAATTGTATAATATTACACTAGTCTAAATATTAAAGTAAAATTATGTGAGCTCTGAGAAATCCTAAGAGCTGCTGTGGTTTTAGGCTTTGCTAGGAGTTAAAGTCCAGGAATTAACCCATTTGCTTTACTTTCAGGTCTTTTCCAATGGACACCTTACCAGTGAAGAATATGATGTTCCCCCTCGGCTTTCCCCTCCTCCTCCAGCCACTAGTCTTCTGCCTAGCATAAAGTGAGTTCCACTGAATCTGGAGAGTGTGTGTACATGCATAGTGATAAGGAAAAGGGTGATTTTGAGGTTCTTAGTACAGAAACTGCAGGGTGAGTAGAAAGGAATCACTTGAGACAAAAGCAGTTGAGTCAGGTTTGTAAATTCCAGTATCACATGTTACAACTTCCTCCTTCTGATAATAGCTCCTACAGACTTAGTAAGCTCCTGGGAAGATTAATAATAGAGCAACAGGGCAAGAAAGCTTAGTGTATCCTCCTTTCAAGGAGAGGGCAGAGCTGTACAGCAACCTCTCTCCTCCAGCTTTCTTCTCCTTTCTTATCCCACTACCCAGTTTGACATCAATAAAGTTCCCCCAAATCCCCTGCTTCTCAAATCTGTGGATAGTCCCTGTGGAGTAGTTTTCTATCCAGTTAAGCATCCCATTGCCAGCCCAGACTCATAATTAGACTTCTGAAAGACCCTTCAGGATGTCATCATACCTGCTCTCAGTTGTTATCAGTGGATGTAAAGCTGGGAGTTGGGGACACAACACGCTGGACAATGAGGTGATGTCTAACCAAGTCCCCACCCCCCTTCTTCTTATACACTCTCTTCCCTCCCTCCTGTTTTTCCCAGCCCTCTTCCTGCTCCAGCCTTGGTTTCTCTTTCGTAGCTCTGACTTTTTCTGCCAGCAGTAAGATCCTACAGAATTTTCCCAGCTAAACAGTTTCTCCTTTATTCCTGATGCTTACCCTATAAATCTACACACACCTTGTCTCACTTGGTGGTTTTGGATGCAGCAACCAACCCTCCAACCATCATGCTCCACTTTCTCCTCAAGTTGCGTGTCTCAGCCTCTGCTTTTTATAAAAACTCATGTGACTTCTGTTCAATAATTAATACTGATTCGCATGGGAAGACTTGCAGTGTATACCTATAATCGCAGCACCTGGGAGCCTAAGGCAGGACGAGTGCCGTAATTTGAGGCCACCTTCAGATAGATACAGTGAGTTCCAGGCCAGCCTGTGCTGCAGAGCGAGTCTCTGCTTCAGAAAACAGTAGAAACCACTGGTTTGTATACTTGTTACAGGTTATTTTATAAGTAATTTTGTACTCTGGTATAATGTTTTCCTAAATTTAAAATGATGGGGTGGTTTGGAGGGCACAAATAGGGTGTATGCTTTCGAATACTCCCAGGGAAAATTTTTAAAAAATATGTATTTTTTGACCATTATCTGCTAAGATCTTTAAGTTTTTTGTTTTCTTTTCTGTTTTTTCTTTGCTTCTTTTGTTTTGGCTCTGGGTTGATTTTGGTGTCTTATTTATGCTACCTCTCAGCTACATGGCTAACCATGCTAAGGTCTTCTCTTATTACTAAAGTCTCTGAATGTGTTCATTCCGTCTCTGGAGGTCCTTGAGTGCCTACAAAAGAAGCTAAATCTCAGCTTCCAGAAATCTGATATGCGCTAGAAATTAATATTTTAACGTGTGTAAAGTCACAAGACAGTGTAATGCTCATTAACTAGTTTTAGAAGTTTAGGGAAAGCCAGTACAAACTATGCTATGGAAACATGGATGAGACAGAATGATTCTCAGAGGATCGACACAATTAGATACCATGGTGCCTGAGATAAAACCAGAGTAGAACTTGAGACCATTGAAGGGACAGTAGAGAAGCTGAGCTCCTTCCCCAAAGGAGCTGCCAGGTCTGTAGGAGACACAGCAGTTACATACAAGAGTCCTGTAGGAGCTGCCAAGTCTATGGGAAACACAGCAGTTAGAAGCAGTTACAAGTACTCTGCCATTGGGTCGATGTCAATGAGAACAGACTTGACAGTCTAGTTCCATGTAAAGTAATGTGTGTACACATGGTAACATGTGAGCTCTGTGGCTTCTGAATTTGGGGTTTTAGGAAGTAAGTAGCTGAGGTAGCCCTAGTTCCTGATTAATTCCCCCTCCCCCTGTGCTTATTTAACTCATAGAGTGAGTATGATTCGAGAAGAGGTTGTGTTTTTTGTTTTTGTTTGTTTGTTTGTTTGTTTATCTTTGGTCCTTTAGTAAATTACCATAAACAGCAAAATCATAGCAAAGTGCATTCACTGGTCAGGTTCTAATATTTACCTTTGTTAGAGCCCTTTGGACCAGGAGATAGTTTCTCTCCATTATCTAATTTTTCTTCAATATTTTCTAGTTTTAACTAAAAAATATTTGACAAGCACATTTATCAGAAAGTAGTTTTGATTTTGCATGTTACAAACTAGACATAGCTATGATTTAGATTTTCTTGGTATATTTATATTTTCTCCTGTAACTATAACTGTAGAAATCATGTAAAGTATATAAAAGAAAGTAAAATCATAATCCTGACAGCACATAGACATAACCAAAATATCAACATCCAACTTTAATACTTGGCCATGGTTTTTGTTTTTCTATTGAGGCCTGTTCTGTCATCATTTAGCTTACTTGTGGAGATGACTTCATGCTCTCCTTTGTCATTTGATAGTGTCACACCCATTTTTTTTCAGAATATGTATAACTTTTCCTGTGAAATCATGAAATTTTGAAGTCAGCCGTAGAATAAAATCACATTTGGTTCCACGTTTTACTCCAGCATTAATTAGTTGCCCTATTTTGAAGAAGGTCCCTTCTCTGGACTAATAAGTTTAATTTAAGCGTTATCTAAAATCCTTTGAGCTTCAACTCCCTGTGCAGCAGTGGCTATGAGTTATTCACTATATGGTGTTAATTATATTGGAAATTTTGGTGGCCTGAATGCTTTCTACTATAGCTGCTGACCATATACTGTTGCAGAAACCAGTATGGGTTGAACTATTGCCCATGCTAGCATTACTAATATTATAACCGTTATAGTAGTTTCATTATAATCATCATATTGTTCATATTATTATTGTGATATCTGATATAATGTTGATAATGAAATTGTTCTTCTGGACAATATCCACAAAATTTATTATTAATCTTTCTCTGCTTTCACCTATTAGACAGTACTGTCCATGTCTAAAGAGCACCCGTCATTCAAGGATAACAGAACAAAGGTCTTGAGAAAACGTATATGCTCACTGACACAAGGCTATTGGACATTCAGATCCCCATTGTCATCTTAGATTCTTGGTCTTTGTTGAAACACCAAGCCAAAGTGAAATTTTAAATCACTGCTTAAACTAAACCTATAGTTTTCACAAGTGGCGAAAATCACAGTGATAAATTAAACTCAGCAAGCTAGCTTCCACTCTGTTGTTAGAAGTAGCTATCAAGGCATAATTATTCAGCATTTGATACTGGTACTTGATACCTTTTGTTTTTTGTTGTTTTTTTTTTTTAGGGCAGAGCACATTCTCTGAGGTTGTCTTTTATGCTAGTCTTCATCTTGGTGGTTATGTGAATCTTATTACTCGATTTATAACTTTTTTCTGAAAATATGTTAGTGTAAAGTAAGCGTGAAAAGAAAGTCATTCTTTTTAGAGATACTTCATTTCCTGATTTTTTTTCCTAAATGGTTTACTTAATATTACTGACACTATGAACATAAAGCTTTAAATAAAAACTTGAAATATAGATATTTATTATAACTTTTTAAAAGAGAGAACAAAAATTTCACATGGACTATTTTACTTCATATTTAAATTATAATATATAATATATACTTTGTATATTCATGTAGTATACTATTAACTGTTTGCTTACTAACTTATATTTGACTAATATGATTTTTAAGTTTAATCAAATGGAAGTCTAAATGTTTCAAATGTTTATTGTCCTTGGCATACTATACTGTCAAATGAATACAATGCTAGGTATAATAGTGGAGTGGATATTGCCAAGTAAAACAGCGTTATTTAATGCAGAGGGATATCACTACTCTCAGAAAATGGTTGTCGTGTGCGTCTCTGCTTACAAATGGATGTTCTAATTTTGGCATATTAATCACAAGCTGTCAGATACCTTGGAACCAAGACAACTTGGTTCATACTTTTCTTAAAGGGTTCTCCATTGTGGGCGGTGCTGATGTTTGTTGTTTTTACGTATCTTTTAGGTAGGTAAGACACTAATTGGGGGCTCATTGATAAAAGAATCCAATTTTGCCTAGCTGTCTTTGTTGTATTCTGTTGCTGTGCTCACTGGAGCCTGGGAGAGCAAGATCAAACCCCTAGTGCCTCTGGAATGGGGTCTCTAATTAAGGAGAGTAGAAAGTAAGCAGGTCATTCTGTTGGATGCTGTCAGTTAGAGGTAAGTTCCCGGAGGAAAATCAAACGTGGAACAGGATAACTAATGACAGGCAGGCTGTCACTCTTGATGTGCTCCTGAGGAAAGGGTGTCTTCAAGCAGAAACACAGGAGAAGTGAGGGAGAGAGCCAGCTGTCTGTGTGAAGAGCCCGAGCCTGCTGCACAGGTGTGCCGCTGCTGCAGCTGTCTCCGGGTTAAAAGCAAGTCTGTGACATCGCTGCCAGTCAAAGCTTAGTCTAAAGCAGGAGGCTACAGCACGCTTGCCTTTTCCTGATGGTGTGAAAGGACCCGCAAAATCACTGTAAAATACTTGGCAATATTATGTGCTACAGACACAAAATAATCTTGTCAAATATCACTATTTTGTTTTGCGGGTTCTCTGGGCTTTGTCTTCTCTGAATTACATATATTTCTTGTTCGGATAAAAACAGTGTACACAGGAAACATGAAATAAAACATATGGCAGCTTGAACTCCTATTTTAATAAAAACAGCCATATCTTTACTTTGTGCCATTAGTCCGTGAACAGAGATCTATATAGAAAACAAGTAAAATGACATATTATTTAAAATGCTTTCTGTCTATAAAGGTTCTGGAAATTGCTGCTTTTTCGTTCTCTTTTTACCAGCCTGGTTATTTTTCTCTTCTAATACCCCCTCATTATTTTTATCTAAAAGCTTGTAAGTGTTCAATTATGTGCAAAGTAGGGTAATCCTTGATGAACTCAAGGTCTTCCCTTAAACATGTTGCAATTCTAAAAAGAAACAGGCAAATAGCAGTATAGTAAACACATCAATAAAAGGACGTATGCTAAGTATACATAATAGAAAGGTCACAGAAAATTATTGAATTTGTTGCCATTTTCTTGGGGATTTTTATAGACACCAGACATGTGAAATGGTCTGCTTTTGTTTTCAAAGAAAAGGTAATGTGTCCAGGGTTGCTCCAATTAGGAATGAAAACCACTTGAAGAGAGTGATACTAGAGGTCTGGTGTGAAGGTGAATGGTAAGAGCACGTACAATCTGCCTGCCCTGTGGTTATGTACCTCATGCTGGGAATATGCAGTTCTTGGGAGGAATATCTCTGTGAGCCTTCAGCTTTGAAAGGTGAAAGTACTCGCCACCTATCTCAGAAGGTATCGCTGTGATGACCTGAAATTCGAGCTCTTTCTTCTCATCATGTGCGTGCATATGCATTCAAGTCAGTGCATTGGTGTGCGATTAGGAAGGCTCAGGTAACTTTCCAAGTTACAGGAATAACAGTTTTGCAACCTGGAGAACTGTATTGTAGTGTACTATGACAGGAATAGCAGCAGAAGGCAGGACATAGCAGGAATGCGGAGTGACATCGCAGTGGTTGTAAGTCTAGTGAGTAGTAATGGCTGTAAATGGCTGAATAATGACTTGGCATCTTAAATTTGGAGCCAATATCTTACCCTGCTTTATTCCTCTGGGATCCTGGAGGAATAAAATAAAATGATACCTGTCACCTAAGGCCCATCAGTGACTGACTGAAGGATCCATTTCCCCAGCCTGTTGTTTAGATAACATATACAGGAATAGTGATTCTAAGTCCATTTATGTTGCCACTTGTCGACTCACACATGATACAAAAGTTTGTTAAAATCATTGGGTCTGCTTAATTTCACTGTTTTTTGTTTGTTTTTAGTTACAAGTTCTTTATAGTAAAGTCTTAAAAAAATTTCAAACATTAAAATCTAAGAGAAAATAGAGAACTTTCTTAAAGGACTTTATTAAAACGGTGATAGATGGGAAATACCAGGATGTATTTTTCATATGCCAATATAAGTAGCACATAGCTTTCTTCACTTCTAGTTATAACTCAGCAAAACTCACTTAACCAAATAAAATCTCCAACTAGTAATCTAATACTGAACCGATACTATTTGATAAAATATTAAAGAATTATTGACCTTCAAAGTTACATCGTTTGTTCTCTGACTAATGAAAGAGGGGTGGCATTTAGCTAGGCAAGAACTTCTTCTGTAAGAAAGTATATAGAATTATCCACAATACGTGTTTTGTTTTGTTTTGTTTTGTTTTATCATTTATTTCTTGCACTGGCAAGATGGCCAATGAATAGAAGCACTTGCTGCTAAGCCTGACAAACTGAATTTAATCCCTGGGAACCACATGATGAAAGGAGAAAATAAGAACCGATGCCCACGAGTAATCCTTTGACCTCCATGCATACTTTGGCATGAGAAAATACACATAAAGCAATAGTAAATTAATTCAAATTAAAATGGTTATTCTTTCTTCATAATGAAGGGCATCTTTGGAAGTTATTAAATCATTACAGTAACCTGTAACAGACAAAATTGAACATCCTGCCAAGGTTGTAATTATTGAGTATTAGCTCCAAAGCTTCTCTTAAGTCTCGGAAGTAACTACATGAGTTGTATAAGAATAAGAGTGCATTAAGACTGAGAGCAGATCAGGATAGAGTACGGAAACAGACAGGGCACTCCTCCTCTGCTGATGGAGAAATCCTGGTCCTTACAGTAGTTGGTGAAATAAAGGTCTCTTTGCAAGGATTTAGAGTTTGCAGGAAAACACAGTTGTTTCTAACCCTGTTAAGACACCATCAAGTCATAATTTTGAGACATACGTACTTGCTACCTTTAGTTGGGGGGTGTATCTCCCAAGGTTCAACTATAGTGGCTGTACCACTGGGGTCTATTAACTAATGTAATAGGCTGTATTCTGGGCTGCCTAGCAGACCTTCTGTCACTGCCATAGCGTTTCAGGTCACCATTAACTGTCATTTGGATCCTAACGTATTTCTAGAAAACAGGGCTTTAAAAACTCTTCAAAGAAGAATTAAAATATAAGCTTTTGAAAACTCCTAATGGAGCCTTTCTTTGATCTCTGAATTCTCTAGGGATGTATCTGGGTAGCTAAAACTTTAAAACCTTGGATTTTTCAAAATAGCTTTCCAAATGATCATATACACACACGACACACCTTAGAAGTTATTTCCCATTGTAACAATTGTTCATTTCTCTCTGGCCCAAAAGTGAAAAAGTAATAAAAAGTTCTCCAAAAATCAAAGCTTTTTGTGCATGACATTAGGGATATGCAACTTTTATAGTATGCAAATGTTCCAAAATTTGAAGGAAAAAAATGTGAAAAACTATCTTAGTCCCATGGATTTCACGAAAAACACCTGGTGGTGAGAAGAAATGAAAATAAAAAAAAAAAAAATGTAGGCATGATTGCCTCATATACCATAGGGTTCTTGCTCCCTCTACAGAAGGTGCTGACACATTACACTTTTTAGAGACCTTTCCTATGAAATTAATGATAGTTAAAATGGATTTGGATCCATATTCTTCTAATGTCTTGCAAACTAGCTGTCTGTCTCCAGTTGGCCACTCTGATTTGAACAGATTTCTTTTGGACTATTTCTTGGGTAGTAACAAGGGTTGGATTAAATTCCACACAAGAAGTAGAGTATTTTTCACTTTTACTTTTATCTATCTATCTATCTATCTATCTATCTATCTATCTATCTATCCATCCATCTATATATATATATTACATATCTCCAAGTGATGAAGTAAAAAGCTCAAATTCATCATGGTATGAGATACTTGTTTTATTTAGTGATTGCTGTGGGAAGAACTGTAGCACTAGAATTATTGGTTGACAAGAATGCTAAGTTTCTTTCATGTACGTTTTTTTCTTAAACTATAGGTACTAGCCACAAACAAGTTTGAACCTTTCAAGAACCCTGTTTCCAGTTGATTCCAGTGTATTCTTAACACCTTTACTTGTTTACACTACATGGGAGGGAGTGTTTAACCCTTCAGTAGCTGGGTTTGAATAATTGTAAACATTTGCTCTTACACCCTTAGTTATAAAGCCCTTTCTTTTTTCATAGTTTATTTTTTTCTTACTATACCCTTTAAAACCATAGCTATGAATATTTTTATCTTAATGTTTCAAGGCCTTTCTATTTACATTGGATGTAATAACAGTTTACAGTGGGAAAATGCACGTGACAAAGTAGCTTTGTCATTTGTGTATATCACATCACACCTTCCTGCTCCGAATGTTTATGATGTTTAAACTAGATTGATTTTTTGTTGTTGTTGTTTTGTTTTCATTTTGGTAGGTGTACTGGTCCATTAGCAAACTGTCTCTCAGAGAAGAGAGACACAGTAGAAGAAGATGACGATGAATACAAGATTCCTTCATCCCATCCTGTTTCCCTGAATTCACAACCATCTCATTGTCATAATGTCAAACCTCCTGTTCGGTAAGAAGCTAGCACCCTGTGCCATCCTGCATCTGCACAAGCGTCATCCTAGTGCCACACATGGGGGTTGATCGTATGCCGTTCCAGACTTCGTGCTTGGCTGAAAAGTCCTTCCTAACCTGTCATTCCTATCTACTTTCCTCACTGCTTCCTGGCGAAGCATTTTGTTGCCCTCTTCCCCCGCAAAGCCAAGTTACAATCTAATGAAATGAGGCTATGCATTACATATAATGATGATTAATTCATTCATTTCCCCCAAGATATTTAAATGAATTTCATCAGCTCTGAGAATATATATCATGAAGAAAAATTAGCACTTAGAAACTAATACTATGGTGCTAGGTCAACCTTCCTTAGAATTTTTCTTCATAATGTGAAGACTAGTATAATTTATATTCATTTCCCTTCTTGTTATGTAATGTGCTTCTACTGAAATCATAAGACAATGGGGGAAGCCCTAAAGTTCCTTCTCAGCTTCTTTTTTGACCTGTTTTACCTTCTCTTGGGTGATATAAGAATATAAATAATTTTGTTTTCACTTTTGTTGTTTGATATCCTCACTGTAATGAGGACATTGTTGGTCTTCGCAGTGCCAGTCTCACTGCGTTATAATCATGATATAAAGTGAATGAATTGTAAAAAAAATAAAAATAATAAAACTTTTTAAAAAGTTATTAATAATGGCTTACCTACGTTGAAATATTCTCTTTAAGCAAAACCACGGCCTTGCATACATAAAATTTAATATAATTATTTATAATAACATCTATATTATTTTTATCTTACTGACCTGTCAAACATGTAACAATCTAATCTTAGCTTTAAAACATATTCTGAACTCGAGTTCCCCTTGCATAATGGAACTGTTTTTGTTCAGCTCTGCTCAGCTGCCATTCTTGGTGGCTCCCGATGACTGAGGGATAGGAGACTAAGCTCATCAGTCATCTGTCCCGTTTTTATTCAGTGTGCTATTCTCGCTTGGGGCCAAGTCAGTCAGCTGAAAGCATTTTATGAGTCATGTTTTCTTCTTTAGAGGCAAAACCCTTTTCAGCAGTCTTATCAAGGTACAGAAATATTTGGAAAAGGAGTGGACTTATTTTGAAACCAGGATGGTGTCTCATAACGGATCCTGGTGAGCAGGCTTACTACCCAGGCTTAGTGGTGCACAGTCCATGCTTTTACTGGTTATAGCAAGAGCCAGCTATTTCGTGTTAATCACGCTGTTGAGTATTATTGAGAAGAAAATTACTAGGAGAGTGTTTGTTACATTGGAAGAACCAGGTACCCACTGAGCTAGTAGAGAGAAAGTCACGCCTTCACACCAAGTTTAAACTGCTACCAAATTCCAGTTTCTTTGTCTCTTACTAATGTGTATGAATTTTTAGAAGCCAAAATTGAACAAGATTTTTATCATTTCATTGGGATTCTCATTCTTTTCCTGGCTAGAAGAATGAAGACTACAAGTTTAGTTAATCCAAGTTTAATTGCTACGTTATAGTAGATAGGATTTCAGTAGCTGGCCTCTTGGATACTGAATCTGCATGTGAATTATATACATCATAACCATCTCCCCACAGTTATAAAGAAGTAATAAGTGTTGCTAATCCTTAAGTTTCATTGTAATGAATCTTTATCTAATTTGTTTCCCAAAACCACTGGATGGAGTGTCATCTGCAGAATATTTTCCCTCTCGGTAGCTCTTTCTTTTCCTGTATGTCACTCACTCCCCCTTTGGAACATCAAGAAAAATAAATTGTCAACTTGTGGGACGCAAAACAGTAAATGATTAATTCAGTTCAGTTTCAGCAAAATCGATCATCATTATGAAGACTCAATACATAACTGTTCTTAAATGAACCATATATTGCCTGTTAAAAAGAAGTGGCCACCAGAGAGAGTAGAAATGAATTTTAGATGAATTGCTCTTCAGTATCTATTGAAATATCCACTGTCTCCTCCATTATGTATGTACTTTTACTTTGCTCTAAGAAATCAGAATAATTCAGAAGTATAAAACTTCACTTTCCGTGGTTCTTTTTTGGCCAGATGTTACTAAGCTAGATGGTAGAGGGCAAGTGTGTCCGGTCCCCTGGCCTTCCTACATTCTCCCATGCCCACTATTGTTGCCAACACCACAATTATGCCTTTTGATTGAATTAATATTTACCTGGATTAAGACACTTGATGTGTCCCCAAAGCCTTTGCTGACCCTAAGGTGCCAGAGAGCCAGCATTTGCTCCGTGGAGTAGCAAGGTAGGTTTAGAAGCTGTAGGCCGTTGAGCAGTCCCTGCAGAAATTTTTGGAAAGTTTTGAACGTGTCACAGTCGTTCCTCTCGTCTAAGTCCCTGGTATAATTTTATTTCAAATAATGCGTTAAGTTGAATAAGCAAACAGGTTCTGTGTCGTCAGAAAATATTGAGGCCATCAGACCTTACAGAGAGTTTTGTGTGTCGTTTAGGTCTCTGTCACTTCAGAACCTGGGTCAGGTGCAACTGAAATCTTGCACAGATGTGCTTAGGTTTCAGCTGCTGTAGTAGTTCTTTGTTTCAGTTGGAGAAAGAGAAAGACACTTTTACCTTCAGACACTTATATCTGGCTTTAAAGTCTGAGTCATGGTAGGTGCATATTGTAACTAGTACTTTTTCTCGAAAAGACAGTTTGGATTATTTCGTAGTCTTATTACCTTAGTAGGTATGACAGTCCTCTCTGGGATCCTCACCTCACACCCTCCGTAACTTTTACATGATTCTTGCCCTCTGGTCTCCACATTAGGTCTTGTGACAATGGTCACTGTATATTGAATGGAACTCATGGTACGCCTTCAGAGATGAAGAAATCAAACATCCCAGATTTAGGCATCTACTTGAAGGGTATGTATGGAATATATTTTCCTTCATAATATACATCTCAATGGTCAGAACTTAGAGGCAAAGTCCCCTTCTGTTTTCCTCCTGAATGTCCATTAGGGTTTTGTGTCATCCTCCAGGAGATGTTTTTGATTCAGCCTCTGCTCCAGTGTCTTTAGCACCTGCCAGGTCTCTGCCCCAGGACAACCCACAGCATGGTGCTTCCTCAACAGGACGCCCTCTGATTATGATCTCATCCCTCCATTAGGTTGAAACTTTAAAAACAGCTTAAACAGCCACTTTTCTGCTCTTCATAGCTGCATTATTAGAATTAAGAGCTCAGTATAATACAGACTCTGGGTTGAGAATTTGTCAATCCCCTTAGGGTTCTCCAGGTGATGGTGGCTCCTGCGTCCATGTGACCGTCACTCAACTAGATAAACTAATGGTATAGGCAATAGCTGGAAATTTTAAGATGGTTTTCATAGCATCTCCTGGACTTTTTTAATGTGTCAGAATTTTCTATAATAATGCACCACTTTTATAATCAGACAAAGTACTTAACTGACTTTGTTTTAAGCTATGTTTCCACTGTATCATCCTTACATGAGTAAAAGAGCATGACGACCTAAAGAGCTGACCATCAGTGAGGATTTCATCAGGATTTCTAGACTCGATTCTGTGTGAAGACACAAGCAACCTAAGTGTTGCACACTCCCCTTGGCCTGTGTCCAGTGGCTTCCCAGTGATGATCTGAAGTGTTAAGGCAGATCCCCTGCAAGCATACAGATTCTTAGGAAACATGAACCGCATTCTACTTCACCATGAAATGGCCAGTTAATCTCTTAGGTTAACTGAATTATAGGAAAGTAGCTACTTCATTTTAGAAAGCATGAACAAGTCCTGTTGTTCATGTGTATTAGGTCATCAAGAATATTAAGTGTACTTCTGTATTTCCTAATATGTACCATTATATGACAACATCACTGACCCATATTTTGAATGTTCAGTTACAATGTCTTTTGTTTCTGCTTTATTGATCAGAGGTTTCCATTTTGTTCTAATCAGTTTTTCCTCGTGTACCAGAGCTCTAAGACCCTCTAACTTCCAGTCTACAGTCTTGTTTCCTGGTTTGCTTTTTCTCTAAACTGGATCTTGACCCATGACTCAAGTCTCTATGATCTGTTTACTAGAATTCTCTGTAGGACTGTCAGGAGCCTGTGGGCTTGCATCTGCTCTAGTGGGGTAGGTCTTTTGTTCAATGTAATAGTTTTAGGTGGACAATGACTTCTGTTAGCTAACCCAGTAGAAGTTAGAGCCTGTCTCTACTATTGGGCCTTCCTGTTCCTTGGCCTGTCCATCAGTTCTTACTGTTCGCTCAGCTAAGAAAAACACTCACTCATTGCCTTTCCTGAATATACATTTCCCGAGCTGCTGCTGTTCCACATGTCGTCAGTACCTTACTGGTTGCCACTTGTATTTTTCTTCTCCCATCTTAGAAACTCTCCTTGAGACAAATCAAACACTTTCACCTGTCAGTCACAAATGTTTGTGAATAGGTTTTAGCTCCCTTTGATAGAATCTAAGCTCCTTAAGTTTTGAGCTTCATATCACTCAATGCCTAGTATGGGACCTGATACTGAGAGGCTGAAAAAAAAAAAGATATGAATTTGATTCTATGACAGCCAGAACCTGGAATGATAACAGATTTCTCATTCATCTTCAAATGCTTTAAATTAGAAAAATATTTATGATGATTAGATTAGATATTCTACATATTTTTACAAGACAAGCAGAATGAATGGTAAATTCACGCTAAAGTATTTATGTTTAATTCAGTCAGCTTAAATGCATGTGAGTTCTTAGTATTAGAATATGAAGCTGTCTCACTGACAGCTCATTTGACATACATATTTGGATATTATATTTAGTTCATTGGGTTTTTTTTTTTTTTTTTTTTTTTTTTTTTTTTTTTTTTTTTTTT